GGTGTTGAAGCTGCGGTTGGAGGGTGTGAGAGAGCGCGTTAGTGATTGGGCAATGCGGATGGGGGCGTTTTGGTCATTTACGCACGTGACCGGAGCTGCGGCGGCGGTGCTGGTGGCGTTGGTTTGTTACGCGGGGGTTCGAAGGCGGCGTCGGAGGGTGGTTCGTTGGGTTCATCTTCTCAGAGAGAAAGATGAGGTGAGTATAGAGATAATAGAAACTAGAAAGTGCATGAGTTTGCGTTATCTGCTATATATATGATGTTTCTGCATGATTAACTAACACTTTTGAAAGTTTCTTTTTTAACTTGCATTTATCGTAGCAAGATTTTCCAAGTAAAACAACTATTATGGGGTTAGTTAGTAAAACTAGGGTGGTATTTTTATAGTTAAAAATAAATGTGGAAAATATTTTCCTTTAAACTACAAATGATTAAAAATACTAAAGGTATAAATCGAATCAAACGTGTATTTAACTTTATAAATACTAATTTGTAATGATCGAGCTAATCTACAATTAAAAAAATTGAAAAATAATTAATTGTTAGAATATTCAAAATTTCTTTATGAAGTTTTTTTTTATATTTTAAATGTCAGTTTTAAAGTAAAAATGAACTGATTTTAACTTGTAATTAAAATCAAATGCTTATCATTGGAAGGTAAAACAGATTTTAATTTTTGAACACTACAAATAAAAAAGTTGTTTTTTTAGAAATAAAGTGTTTATTTCAATAAATATTTAAAACTAGTAGCGTGAGTTTAGTAGTATATAGAAGTTCCTAGGTAGCTTGGAACTTGTTACCGTAATTGAAGCAGTTAATAATTAAATGCATGTCTATTAGAAAACTGATAACATTCTTATGCATAAAAATGTAAAATATTTGTGTGTATATATATGTTATTTGTTACATTATTGACGTGGTTGTGATGTAAATTTTAAAAAAAAAAAAACAGGAAAAATAGACTACTTATTATTATTATAATTAGAGTTTGTTAGAAATAAATTAAAAATATTTTGAAAAGATTATTTATTAAAAAAATATTTAATTTTTAATAAAAAAATTGAAAAACACTTATAACATGTATATAAACATACTCTAATTACAATAGGTAGAATTGGCCATTTCATTGATTTACCACGTACTAAAATCTTAACTTCTACTTTGTTATTAAGTTACTTATATAAAATGTAGTTGTTAATGCTATGTACATTTTATCACATAATCTGCTTTTATTAGTAAAATGAGGTTTCATATTGAATAACATTATCCTGAACTTTTTGTTGGGTGCAGAAAATTAGCCAACTCTTATTTCAGATTGCACAACTAAGTGAAGTATTATCATCTCGTCGTAAGGTTTCCGTGCATCGAGTCAACTGATGCAAGTTTTGTAGTGTTGACTTAGTATAATATTGTAAATTGTATATGAACTTGTCACTACACTTATAAATAGTTGCACTCAGCATCATCATAAATATATGAAAAGTTGTACTCTTATAAATAATTTACTAATTTGAAATGGAAGATAAACATATGAGAAATGCATGTAACGCACTCTTTTGAATATATATTTTTTATTAGTCAAAATTTTTAAAAGTTGTAAAATTTAGTGACACTTATATTTTATTTAATAAATATTGTTTCTCCTGATTATATAATTTTTAATAAATAATTAATTAGAGACAGTGCGTTAAAAAATTTACCAAAAAATCTAACAAACAAACAAATGACAAGATCGCGTAGTCATTACTATAGAGAAGGGTCTATACTAGTTGGAGAATCGATGAAAATGGCTCCAATATAAAATGCAAGTAGCATTTTACATCGGTTGCCTTTTAACCCATGTGGAAATATATAAAACATAATAATAATATAAATAATAATAATAATAATAATAAATAAATAAACAAATGAATAAATAAAATAAAATAAAAAATATGACAGTCTATCTCTATCTGTTGTCCTTGACAACCTCTTCCACATCTTCCATGTAAATGTAAAAGAAAGTCCCAAAAAAGAAACCCAACCTAAACCCCTCCATGCACCCTCTCATTCAAACAACATAAATAAACCCTTCAATACACAACTCCAAAGGAACCCTTGCATGTAGAATAAACAATAGGGTGTGCAAAAGAAACCAAATGAATCTGTTTGAATTTGAAATTGAACCGTATCTTTTGAAAACATATATAATTAATTTGAAAAAAACCAAACTACAATATTTACATAAAATGGATTTTAAAAATCAATCTACATTAATAATTAGGTGCATTATCGATGCATCACTTTTAAATAATAAAATAAAATCAAAATAATTTATTTGTCTCTCAAATGTCACACTTTAATAATTCACAATATCACTTAAAATGTTTGAATATTATTTATGGTCATTGTGTTTTTTTTTTTAATTGTCTTTAGACTATTAAAGTAAATGTTAGTTATCAAATCATGTTTCATAATTAAGTTTTCACATGATAATTATAATTCTTCAATGCTTTTGGGTTGATTTCTATGAATTTGTTTGGGTAAACTTTTTTTTTCTTTTAAAAAATATTTTTAATAAAATAAATAATTTTCTATCTTGTATGATGTGTTTGTCTACTTAATTAGTCTCTGAGTTAAATGTCTAACTAGTAAAAGATTTTTAATTTGTTTATAAAGACTGTATTAATCATGACTTCATTCATAAGTTTGAAAGATAAAAACTATTTTTTCTTAAGAAAACTAATTTAAAATTGGTTCAATTCTTAAAACTGATTCAAAATTTGTTTGGTTCTAAAGTTGATTCTAAACCAATTTTAAACATGTTTATAAAATTGGTTTGGTTCTAAACCAACTTATTGATGTGGTTTAAATGGTTCATAAATCGATTTAGTTTGATAAAATGGTGCAGTACAGTTTAGTATGATTTTTTTGAAAAATCGAACCATGCACACCCCTCACATGCATGACACCAAGATCCTCATCATAGATCACAAAATTATCTAGCCAGAACTACAGAAACGATATGAGATGATATTTAATTAAGTATCAACTCCCTAGTGAAAACCTCGAAGCACTAATCTCCATCAAACAACAACAACAAACTCAAACACAACAAATTACTTAAATGGTTACGAGTTGGTGGTGGGTGGTTTAGGGGTATATAGTTCAATGTGGTAGGGGAGAGGAGAAAAGGGAGACTTTATTGTGAAGAGAGAGAATATGAGGTTAGTGATTCTAAATGAAAGCAACAACACAATTTGAAAATTTAAATCATATTATATTGTTTTAGATTGGAACCAATGTAAAAACTTATTTTTACTTTGTTTCTAATTTGAATTGATGTAAAATGAGTATTTAGCAGCTGGAGCATAAATGTTGTCATAGTCCATGTCTTCCTCTTGGTTGTAGCCTTTAGCAACCAATTGGCCTTATTTCTAATGATAATTTTGGATTCATCAAGTTTATTACAAAAAAACCACCTGTATCTATAATTGCATGATCAAGTGGTGTTGGTACTACCTCCAAACATCATTTCTTTTAAATTGATTTAATTTTTCTTACATTGTTAGAATCCAACACTCATATAATATAGTCTTCTCAATTGTTTTAGGTTTCACTTGTGATACAAAGGCGATGCACTAATATGCTAGGGACTTTGTATGTCGAGTGTTTTGAACATTTTATGTCAGCCTAGACACGACATAGATCCGATGACATAGAATGTTCACACATATTATGTCGGATGGTCAATGCTCGTCATAATATGAGTATCTAGTGTGATATATTTAAATCACATTGGCACCCACATTCTATGATGAGTATGGTTACACTCATCATAGAATATGCACTTTCTACAATGAATATGGTCCACCTATTATAGAAAATGTATTTTTTTTAATATTTTGTTCAGTTTTTATTTTCCAAAACCTTTACAAAAAAAATACAATTCAAGCTGTTAATAAAGCATATGGTTGTTTAGTTACAATATCTCTCATTTAAATTCAAATAATGTACAAAGTAAACTAACTAGCAATCAAAGAGAGTTAACAATAATGTTCAAATTAACAATAATTTTCATTAATTAATAACAATAAAGAAATACTCACTACTAGAAAATTACTGTTCTACATCGCTATATTTACATCGGTTATATTAGAACCGATGTAAATCATAAACGTGGTGGCAAACTTGTAAATAAATAGAAAATGCAAACATATTTACATCGGTTGAGGAAAGAAACGATGTAAATATGAGCAATTCTACATCGGTTTTATTATTGACCGATGTAGAAACTGAGACTCTGATATGTGCCTCGCATACCCTTTCATCTCACAATTAGGGCTTCTCCATCTCAAGCAGCGACGCTAACCCCCGTCGCCACCGGCGCTTCCTCCGCACCGACGACAACCTCTTCGTCGCCTCCAAGGCCTTCGCCTATTCTCATCTTTTCTGTTCGACACTGATTGCTGCTAAACGACGCCGCATTTGATTCGGAGCTCTACCAATTTGCCTGTCGTGCGAGGAAGGCCGTTTGGGAGGACCTACAATCGCCAAGCCTCGTTTGGAAGCCCCAGAACCGATCTTGGCCTCCCGCTGAGGACACCTTGACTCCTTGGATCAAGTCTCTCAAGGAATGGACGGAAATGGAGAGTGTAGGTTAGGTGTTTGATGAAAGGCTTGAGAAAGGTACTCTAGGTTTGGCTCACTCCATGGGTGATGAAGGTCACTTCTAGGGTTTACTCTCAAGGAAGGAGATAGGTATGGTGGTGGCCGAATTAACCAAGGGAGACTAAGGAATGATATAAAGGCACAAATGCTCTCTCTATTTTCAACACCCAAAGTGATTACATGAAGCAATACCTAGGGTATTTATAAGTGTGGGGTGTATATATATATATATATATATATATATATGAATATAAGTTCAACAAAATATTATGCATTAATGATAGAAACTTCAAATGTATATAAATATACATATAAGTTCAACAAAATATTATAAATCGCTAAATGATTGAAATAAATATCGTTCAAAAAAGTGTGGAAAATAAATTATAACAAAATATAATCAAAAGAAAAATTATCTCAAAGTAAAATGTAGCTTTCATGTTAGTTTGGCGAAGATACCTAGCTTGTGTGATTAAATATAAACTTCAATTAATCATCAAAAGTTAAACTTGTTACCTGATTGTATATTGGCACTGATTCTCTCTTTCATGAGAAATTTGTCTTTTGATCTTAACGAATTAAAATAAAAAGAAGAAATAACCTCTTTTAGAGTCAATTCTAACATTAAACCTAACCTCTCTTAGTGACACTATCCCTGTTTGTATCCCTCCTCCGTATCCTCATGTTTCCACTTTTGCTTGTAAAACAATTTAGTCTCAATCTTTAACTTGCACAACATTACTATCTCGATGTGTCCTTGTGCATATCCTCTCAATGTAGAATATTGTAATGACTTGATCTAACATGTTTTCATAGACTATTCTAAGTGGGCCTTCAGGTAACAATTTAAATCATTTTATTAGTGTCACATGCATATAGTCTAGAGTATTTGTATCCATTGCATGAACATATTGATTATACAGTGAATGAATGTGAATTGTAAATATTACCTATCTTGAACTATGTAATTATTGGAAGGTGCAATTGCTATTTATTGATCTATGAATGTAAATGCACATGTAATGCTTAATGTGTGTTGCTACCAACCATAGCTTACACCGATAATCGAGTAAGATATTTTTCTCTCCCTTTTTCTTTTGTTGGTTTATGGTGTATGGTTACAAGTGAGGTTCATCATGAAGATTATGAGGTTGGAAATGAGGTTTAAACCTTATACCAAGGTTACTCTAATAAGTTATGATATCGAGCAGTAACTAAGAGTTATTTATGATCAAGTGAAATTATACTACGATTTAATATTAGTTCATTGTAATTACTCTTTGTATCTTAGTTTTGCTTGTTGTTTAACTTTTTTTTGTCATCATTCGTAATATGATACCTTTACCATGAGAATTTATCTTATCCGGTAAGATTATTTTGAAAACTCTTTTCAATTATTAATGAAATATATGCTATGCTAGTATGTGGGGTAAAAGGTGTCATAAACAACTGCAATTTTTCATGCTAACAAGATGTTGAGGTGATGCTTCTCCTCCACCTAACCAATTCTGACAAGCTCCCCTTCTCCACTGAAGTTGTCACCATGTGACCCTTGGGAGGGAGGGCATTGATGGTAGGGGAACTCATGAGGCCCCTCCTTTATGTTCAAGAGTTGTTGAGATAAAATTATTAGAGAAGGAAAAATTAATCCCGTATGATCAAGTGTAAATAAATTTTATCAAGTGAGATTAATCTAGTGGTTATAAATCATGGTCCACTTAAAAAGCTACTCCACTGATGGCATCCTAGCTTGCATTGATGGAGAGATTTGATCAATGAGAGGACACCTTGACTCCTTGGATCAAGTCTCTCAAGGAATGGACGGAAATGGAGAGTGTAGGTTA